ACCTGGCATTCATAAAGCTTCTTTCTTCCCTTTTTTGCCCCTACTCCAGTTTGGCATGCAGTGAGGTGACATTTAAGGGTGCTATTTCTAGCAAATCGTTCATGACAATTTGGACATTCGAAAGGTTTCTCACCTATTAGAAGACAAACAAAACAAAACAAAACAAAAAACCGACAAGTTAAGAAAAGTGGCAAGAGCAAACTTTTAAGAGTTTACTTTTTCTTTTTGGTTAATAGTACATTCTTAAGAGGTGGAAATCACAACTTAAAATTCAGATATTTTCACCACATCCAAGATTTTTATAGAGGTGGCAATAAGATTTAGTGATTATTACAACTGTATTTATGCTCTGGCAAATAAAATTTGGATCTGAGTTCTGTTTTGTTTTTGCTGTTTTTTAAAATATTGTATATTTTCCCTTAGATAAAAAAATCATGATCAATATTTATTTCAGAAAAATGCATCATTCTTTCCATAAGCATTTCTGTACCCTTTCTACGTATCAAACTATGTGTTAGGTGATGAAGATTAAAAGGTAAAGGCCAGGGTATGAAGTTTAATATATGAAAATAAACACAATGCACTGTGGAAGATTTGTTACAGAACAGAGTACTTGGAATATGTACTGCATCAGCACAGAGGAGAACAACAACACTGCCTGGAACAAATGAGAAGGAAAGAGACAGAGGCACAGGGAGCACTAAAACAGCAAGGTGGCTGAAGAGTAAGGAAGGAGGAATCAGTAATGACCTCCAGATCTCTGGCTTCGAATACCTACTAGAGTAAATAACACAGGGCACAGAAATCCAAATAGTTTGGGGTGGGATTTGTAGGGAAGAGTAGAATTCATAGTTTTTTGTCTGTTGAGCATGAAGTACTCAGCACAGCAGAGGGGTTCTGTAGATAGCTATACAGATAATTCTGAAGCCAAGTAGAGGGTGGACTGACACACAGATTAGGGGTTATTTTAAGTGAAAGTAAAAACTTTCATTCTATCCCTGTCTAGTGGTTAAGGGGTAGAAAAAAACCAAAAAACTTATTCTGGAAAAAAGTTCTCAAGAGTATTCTGTGTGGTAACAAAAGGGCAGAACCCAGTGGAAAAAACCAAGCTAAAACAGATAGATGAGCTAGCAAAGGAATGAGAAATGAAACAGCCGGAAGTAGAAGGAAAAAAAACTAAGTAGTCAGTGTGTGGTGGGATCAGAAGCCAGACTGCTTGCTGTGAGATCAGGGAGAGAGAGAGGCATGTCAATGAAAAGTCAGTACAGAAATTCCCTCAAGAAGGCCTGGAAGTAAAGAGGAGAGGTGGGTAGAGAAGAGCAAGTAAACAAGCGGGAATTATTTGCTGAGGGAAGGAGGCAGTAGAAAAAGAAAAGAGTGGGAATGACAGATGGGATATGATCTTATAAGAGATATTAAGGTGTGGGATTCAGAATTGACCCTGAAGAAAAGAAAAATCTCTTTCTCTAGAATAAGTGATAAAATCAGACACTTAGGGGCCTAACTTAAGGTCTGAGATATACATTTTCTCTAGAAGTACTCAGCAACCAAGGAGCAGGAGTAAATTATTTCAATGATTCCAAAACGGAAGGTTTTTTTAAGAGCAAATGGAGTTGTGCTTAGAGTACAAGTAAAGGTTACAGAAATTCCTTTTCCACTCCAAAAATGTTCAGCAATACTGTTAAATAAAATGATTAAGTTCTTTTATTTTATTAATGTATGATTTTTCATTATCAATGAAACCCAAAAATTGGTACTGCTATTTTAAAGAGCAATTTGAGGTGGTGCCCATAGCTCAAGCGGCTAAGGTGCCAACCACATACAACACAGCTGGTGGGTTTGAATCCGGCCTGGGCCTGTCAAACAATGACAACTACAACCAAAAAAATAGCTGGACATTGTGGCAGGCATCTGTAGTCCCAGCTACTTGGGAGGCTGAGGCAAGAGAATCGCTTAAGCCCAGGAGTTGGAGGTTGCTGTGAGCTGTGACGCCACAGCACTCCACCCAGGGCAATAGCTTGAGGCTGTGTCTCAAAAAAATAAAAAAATAAAAATAAACAAACAGCAATTTGATCCCTGGGAGGCTAAGGTGGGTGGACTGCTTGAGCTCAAGAGTTTGAGACCAGCCGGAGCCACAGGAAAACTAGTCAGGTGTTATGGCAGGCACCTGTAGTCCCCACTAGGCAGAAGGCTGAGAGGATTGCTCAAGACCAAGAGTTTGAGGTTGCTGTGAGCTATGACACCACAGCACTCTAATAATAAAGAGCAATTTGATGTTTGACAAAATTTAAAATCAGCAAATTTCTTGACCTGGCAATTCTGCTCTTAAAAATAAAATTATTTGAACATATGAAAAAATATATTATGTACAAGGATGTTTACTGCAGAACGGTTTGTAATACAAGAGCCTACCTAGCAAATACAATAGACCTAACTGTCTATTCATCATTTTAACCCATACACTGAAATACCTTGCAGCCATAGAAAAAACTTAAAAATTCATAAACGTTTCATATTTTTAAATGACATGTTGTTTTTCCAAAAGCATGTGTGCACATTTATCTATGACTACCTGAAAATGCAAAGGATTCATTTGCAATAACAAATCAGAAAATGATAGTAGCAGTTGCTTCTACTAGTTACATGGGAGAAGAGAAACTACTTACATGGGAAAAGAGAGCTATTTTCACTATATGCCACCTGAGCTGTCTTTTTTTGAGACAATCTTCCGATGTCCCCCTTGGTAGAGTGGTGTGCCATCATAGCTCACAGCCTCAAACTCTTGAGCTTAAGTGATTCTCCTGCCTCAGCCCCCCGAGTAGTGGGACTACAGACACCCGCCACAACACCTGGCTATTTTTTTGTCGCAGTTGCTATCGTTGTTTAGCAGGCCCAGGCTGGGCTCTAACCTACCAACCTCTGTGTATGTGGCTGGCGCCCTACTCACTGAGCTATGGGTGCTGAGCCCACTTGAGCTTCTTCTACTTAAAAAATTAGTTTAATAAGCTCAGTAAAATCTAAAAATACCAACATATTGGCTTGGCACCTATAGCTCAGTGGCTAGGGCGCCAGCCACATACACTGGAGCTGGTGGTTTGAACCCAGCCCAGGCCTGCCAAACAACAATGACAACTGCAACAAAAGAATGGCCATGCATTGTGGCAGGCATCTGTAGTCCTAGCTACTTGGGAGGCTAAGGCAAGAGAATTGTGTAAGCCCAAGAGTTTGAGGTTGCTGTGAGCTGTGATGTCACAGCGCTCTGAGGGTGACACAGTGAGACTCTGTCTCAAAAAGAAATAAAAAATAAAAAAAAAATATTAATTATATTTGAGATGTGTGGATAGTTTAGCTTTCAAAGTGCTTTCACGATTTTCTTATTTGTTATATAACCCTGTAAGTTAGGTATTATTACCCTTATTTACAGACAAGGGAAGAAGCTCACAAATTACTAGTTAAGTGACCAGTCAAGTTCAAATGTTGGAACTGAACTGTGATACCTGGACATTCTTTCTGATACCACACCACCTTTCTTGGAAATTAGGGAGCACCTATTTGAAAACATGCCTAAAGATTACCTCTAGGTTTTCTGTCATACTCGGTGTCCCAGTTATATGTCATCATGTCTAGTATTTTCCCTCCTGCCCAAATCACTTATCCGTCTATATTTCTCTAAGTTAATAACCTCCAATCACATGAGCCACCTAAATCAGAAAACTGGAAGCCACCCTTTCTTTTACCCCAACACGTCACTGGTCACCAAATCTTACTGATTCTGCCTCTTTAATGTTACTCAAAATCTACAGCCCTTGTCCACTATCATTGCCTTTACCTGATCTCCCATTTAGGTTTAGATGACTCCAACAGATTCCCCACTGAAGTGGAAAGTTTTGCACCACTCCAATCTATCTTGCTAGTCATCTCTTTAGAAAATGAATCTGATCAGATCACTTACAAAAACTCCTTCAAAATGACTGAGTCTCTCACAAGATAAAATCCAAACTCTGATAGTACTTATGAAAATAACTAAATGGTCTCTCATTATTCCTTCTCTCTTGCCCTTAACCCAGTTGTAGATTCTGCATATGATGCCCAAGTGCATGCCACATGGGCTGCCCCTCTAACCCATTCTGCTGCATCTCCTGGCATTCCTCTACTTCAGTGGTTCTCAACCTGTGGGTCATGATCCCTTTGTAACAATGAAAATACATTGTGGCATTAGGAAGGTTGAGAACCACTGCTCTACTTGGACTCATTCCTTTGGCCATAATACACCAAACAATTCACTTCCACTCACTCCTCTATGCCTGTGTATATATGTTCAACTGCCTCTGCCTGGAATGCTCATTTCCAGGCTAATTCTCTTCCCTTTAAGAATCACAAGGTAAAACCCCTAGGAAGCCATCTGCTATGGTTTGACGTTTTCCCTCTCCAAAATTCATGTTTAAATTTAATCCCCAATGTGGCGGTATTCAGAGGTGGGGACTTTAAGAGAAACTAGGTTATGAGGGCTCTACTGTCTCAGGACAACCCAGCAAGAAGGCTCTCACCAAACGCCCTTGACATGGGGTTTCCCAGCCTCCATAAGAAATAAATTTCTTATAAATTATCTAGTTTTGGGTATTGTTATAAGAAACAGAGAAGAGACTAAGAACTCATCCTTGTCTCTTCCATCAACAGCTAGCCCAGGGAGAATCCCATAGATTCTGCTCTTCTCTATAAGCAGTGCGCATGTCACGCTGTGTATGCCTGCTTTCTCTCCCTCAAATGTGAACCCTCTGAGGGCAGGGATTCTAAAACTAAAACTCCATTATCTAGCTGGGTGGCATTGTCATTACTATTTTCTAAATGAAAACAAAATAAATCCAAAGCACAGAAAACAGCTAAAATTTTACAAATCATGCCACCTATTATAGAGCTTTTAAAACACACAAGAAATCAACTCATTAAACTATTGGTGTTTATGAGTTTTGAGGGTAGGATATACAAAGAGAATTGTCTATCTTCACAGTTTGTTATAAGGGAAAAAAGATCCATCCTTTATTAACTTAAACATAATTTAAAGTTGCCTATAGACTGGTCCAGTGGCTCACACCAGTAGTCTTAACACTTTGGGAGGCAGGATTACTTTGACCC